AGGGTGACCTAGAGCAGGTGATGCCTTCACGTGGATTTGGAATGTCTCCAGAGGGGGACTCCACTCCCTCTCCAGGCAGCAGCTCCAGTGCTCCGTCACCTTTTATATACAGAAGTTCTTCCTCATGTTGAGGTGGAACTTCCCGTGTTTTCGTTTATGGGCCACTGATCTTCGTCCTCTCGCTGAGCGCTACCGAAACCGTCAATTTCTAGCGTAAAAACTTATTTTTCTATGTACTTCTGCTGAATTATAGAATACATACAACACCAAAAAAAAAAACCAAAAAAAACCCAAAAAAAAACACCAAAAAAAACCAAACCATACGAGGAGCGGGGCCGGCTCGGGCGCCGTGCTCGGCTGCGGCTGGCGTGAGCCCGAGCGCCCGCAGCCTGCCCCGGGCGCGCCGCGGGGCCCGAGGGGAGCGCTCCTCACCTGGGCCGGCTCCTCCTGTGCTGCAGCAGCCCCGGTCCCGCTCCTCGCCGCGCCCGGCCGCGGCCGCGGCCCCGCTCCGAGGAGGAGGAGGGACGAGGCCCGCGGGGCGCCCTAGACGGGGCCAGGCGCGGGCGCCTCCGGCCGGGCGCCCTCCATGTCCCCGCGGCGCTCTGCTCCCCCTCCTCGGGCGGCTCGGCGGGGAGCGCGGGGCCCGGGTCCGGCCTGCGCGCCCGGCGCCCGCGGGGGTGGGAGAGGCGGCCGGAGCCCCCCCCCGCTCCGCCCACCCCTGAGCCCGCGGGGGCCCCGCGCGGCCACGGGCGCCGCTGGCACCGCGGCTCCCCCGGGGGGAGCGCCCGGCCCCTGTCCGCACTTCCCCGGGCCACAGCGCCCGGCCGGGATCACTCGCCCGACATGCCGAGGCCGGCACGGCCCCGCCGCCCTTCCCGCTCCCGCTGCCCACGCCGGTCCCGCCCGGGGCGGACGCCCCGCCCGTCCCTGCGCCGCCCGCACGCTCGGGGGAGGAGCCCGAGGTCTCGCGAGAGCACGGGACGCCCTGTGGGCGGGCCCCGCCGCGGCCGCCGTGTTCTCGCGAGATCTCCGGGCGGGAGCAGGCCCGCAAAAGGCTTCCCGGTCACCGAAAACTTCACACCGTTTGTGCATTTTAACAAACATCAGCGCTCACGGGCTGCAAGTTACGTAATTTGTCTGTTAATTAGTACTCAAGCCCTTTTGTTGGGTGTGTTTGTGGCTTCTCACGCTCATTAGTGCGCAGCCGGGGTTCTCTCCATTTGAGTACGGGGTCTGCTTTTAGGAGGAGGTTGGTGGTTGCGATCACTGGCATTAGCTTTCTCCCAGTTACTGCTGACTTCACTCTTGATGGCTCTCAGCCACACAGCACCACTCATTTTGGGACTGTCTCTTTTAAAAGATGAGACAAGAATACGATCACAGAATCACACAATTCCCTGGCCTGGGAGGGACCCTATGAGCCCATCCGGGTCCATTCCCCCTGCCACGGACACTTTCAACTCTCCCAGGTTGCTCAGAGCCCCATCCAGCCTGGCCTTGGGCACTGCCAGGGATCCAGAGGCAGCCACAGCTTCTCTGGGCAGCCTCTGCCAGGGCCTCAGCACCCCCACAGGGAAGGATTTCTCCGCAATCCAAACCACAGTGCAACTATTTCATCCCGAGCGTCCCGCTGGAGCCGCTGCTCTACCATTCCGGGCTCACAGCCCGGCCCGCAACTCTCGCGAGATCTGCAGCGGGCGGCTGCGGAAGGGCGTGCTCTCGCGAGAGCGGAGCGCGGCCGGTCCCGCCCCGCCGCACGGCGCCCTCTGGCGGGGACGCGCCGCGCCGCCCGCCCCTCACGCCGCCATTTGACATCGCTCGGCGCCGGTGCGGGCGCACCCCCGGCGCGGCCGGAGCGCCGGGAATGAGTGAGTTCCGGGGAGGCTCCGGGGACACGGCGGGGGGCTGCCGCTGTGGCCGCCGCCGGGCGATCGGGAGCGCGGGCGGGTTTGCGTTGCGACGCCCCCATGGCCGGGGCGCCCTGAGGGGCGTGAAGGAGGAGGACGCCCCTTGTCCCCCTTGTCCCCGCCTCAGACCCGCGGGCCGGGGCGGGCCGGGGACCCCTCAGGTGTCACCGGCGGCGTTGTCGCCCTCAGCGTCGCGGTGGCTTTTCGGGGGTAGGAGGCGACGCTGCCCGCGGTGACAGCCCCGGGACAACCCTGTCACACCGGGAGGGGACATGCCGGGATGCGGCGGTGACACCCCCAGGATGCTCTTGTCACGCCGGGACCTTTGCACCGGCCGAAATTCCTTGAAATTCCGTGGAAATTGTATTCTGGCTCAGCGCTGCCAGACTGGTCTCCGTGGTAACAGAACCCACAAGCTGTGGGAAAAGGTGGCTTCCAGTAAGGATAAAAGAAAAAGAAACAGGGAGAAAGTTAGGAGAAGGCGGTGGTCGCACAGAGATGTTTATTCTTGGGTGTTGTTTTTTTTTGGTGTTTAATTTGGTAATGAAAGGCATTAGCAAATAGCAGGAAGTGGCAGTGTGTGGTAGGAGTGTTGATGGGGTGACCTGGTGCTCTGCTACCTGTTGGCAAGGTTGCAGCAAGGAGCATCTGTGCAACTGGGCATCTCTGCCAGGGCAGGGCTCAGGAATTATTAACCTCAGCTCATAGGCACGCTCATAAAAAATAATATATGATAAGAATTTGCCTAAATAAATTGCATGTGATTAATTGGTGGTTTTTTTCCTCCCCCTAAATATCTAGGCTAACTCACAGGTTTAGCTCGGTTTCAGGGTCGGGCAAAGGTTTTGTTTTTTACAAGCAGCCAGAAAACATTTTAAGTTTCAAGGATTAGGACCGGTGTCTTGGATATCGAAAGGTATCCTGGCCATGATTTGGGGCCACTGTGAATTACCATGATGCAAACAGTGATTGTGCTTTCTGAGGTACAAATGCTGCCTGAAACTGGAGCTGGGCCCTGGCCTGACAGGGGACAGTGACCGCAAAATTTGTGTGGCTGCATTCCACAGGTCTTTCCTAGCACATTCCCTGTGAAAAGAAACATCAGTGGCTTTGCCACAAACAAACTTCTCTGACATGGTTGGGCTAGGGCAAAAAAGTGAAAGTGCATATGTGAAACATACATTGTTTAAAAATTTATGCGAATGCAGACAAATCATCAGAGGTGTTAAGTGCATTGTAGTCTGAATGCCAAATGGATTCCCAGCTCATGTAGAGGCCTCAGAGGCTTTGTTTATACTGGCCAGAGAATTCCCGGACTGTGAGCTGAATTAAAGGCTGCTCTTCAACAGCAACATGGATCTCACTAAGTCAATTGCTGCAGCAGTTCAGCCAGTTAGTGGGGAAGGTCATAATTTGTCTGGGGTATTTCTGTTGGAGATCTGACTGGAGGGAGGAGCAAGAAAAGCAGATCCCTAAAAACGGTGCAGTGTTATTGCTTTCCGTGTCAGATTTGAAAGAGCTCCAAATGCTAAGTCAGGGTGAATAAATTAACCACCTGTGACAGGCCAGCAGTCTGCTGGAGGCCTGGCTATCTCAAATACATGCTATGGAAAGGTAAATGCAAACATTATCTGATAAACAGGAAACCTGTACATGCTAAAATACTGATGCTTTTGATAGCACATGAATCCCACTAAACACGGGTAAAATGTCTAGTGTTTGAAATATCCTTCCTTCTACTGCTTACCTGGGATAGGAGCAAAAGGTCACTTGAGGCAAATTTGAGGATTTCTTTAAGTTAGCCTTAAAGACCCTGGGCTATGATTTGTAAAGGTGCCTGAGAAAGTTAGAATATCAACCTGAAGTGATTTTTTTTTTTCATGTAGCTAGCTGAGGAAAGACTCTAAAAATCTTTCCTGTTGCAAAAAGCCTGGCTGAGAAATCAATTTAGTTGATTTTTTGTGTACGTTAGGACATTTCCCAAACCAAATATCAAACCTGATAGCAACAAGGCCCATAAATCTTTTAAACCTCTATCACTGCTGTTTGATTGCTGAAGACTGTTCAAGGAGTTTAAATAGATTTCCTTTTCAGTAGACTAGGTCCAAGGTTCCTTAAAAGAAAATAAAAACACAGGCTGAAAACCTTACTCTTGAAACGTAACCTACAAAGCATGAATATGAAAAATGTAGCGTAAAGGCCAGTATTGTTGGCAATAGACACAAGCATTTTGCAAGTTTGCAGTTCTGGCAATGTGTAATTCCTGTGAACAAGTGCTGCAGGTAGAAGAGTGATGTTTTAAGGGTGCAGTTGCTTCTTTACATTAGCTGAGCTACTGTCGAAAATGTCACAGTTCTGTTCCATGCAGCGATGTTTGTGTTCATTTGTAGACACGAACAAAACACGAGCCTTTCATATTCTGAACTTTCCCTGAGCAATTTTCTCTACTCCGTCAGTTTGAGCTGCTCCTTCTCTGCTGATATAAGTCATCAGAATCTTCCAGGCCACTGTAACCCTTCAGCGTTCTCTTTTGTGCTGGATTTATACCTCAGTTATCCTCAAGTATATCTGTTAGGAGGGGACATTAAATAAAAAAAAGTAGCATTAAGGATGAATGAGTTCACCTAACATTCTTTTACTTTGTGTGTCACTCTGCCAGAAGCAGGTGCGCTGCCCAGCTTTGCTGTGCCCAGCGCCCTGCCTCTGGCAGCTGACCATGCCCAGGTGGCTGTGCAGAGGTGCAGTGGTGCCAATGCTGCCTTTGTCGTGTCCAGAAATGAGCTGCACCATGGAGAAGGCGCTGGCGGACGCGAAGGCGCTGGTGGAGCGGCTGAGGGAGCACGACAGCGCGGCCGAGGCGCTCATCGAACAGACCACGGCGCTCAGCAAGCGGGTGGAAGCCATGAAACAGGTCTGCTCCTGGGAATGGAGGCACTTCCAGCTCTGGGGGCTTCTGTGCAGCACGGAATGAGCGTGGTGTTGGGATAATCCTGTAACGCAGACTTGGTGTTTTTAGTAGAGGTGTGGCTCTCCTCTCAAAATAGCTTGTGTATATAGTTTGAAACTGTGAAAATATTTTCACAGTTACTCCAGTTCAAATATTGAAAGCAAGCATTTATTTGAAGAACAGTAGTAGAAATGGGTTTAGTATCTTACAAACCACTCTGTGGCGCCTCTTGGTTTGGTCTCCAATGCAATACTACACATTTTTATTAATTTCATCATGCCCATTTAATCATACAGAGGCTCTGGCATGTTTTCTTCTGTATGGAATACTTTGTCTTTGCACTGTCTCCTTTTGTTTCCAAATAGCCTCTTGGGCTTTTTTGTGCTCATTTCTATTCTGACGTTTAGCTGCTTAGGGCACATTGTTAGATTGAGTGTGACTTTCACAAGACAGCTCCTGGGAAAACATAAAGATGTCTTGTGACTTTCCATATGGCAGTCCATCCTGTCCCTTTCATGAACCCAAGATATGTTAATAGACCTATAACATCATAACACCCTGCATGCAATTCAGCCCTGTAAAACTAGGCAGATGCTTCATGGCTTCACATCAAGAGTATTACATATCCCCATCTGTTGGGAGTCAGGATCCATTGACTCGGGCCCCAGTGACTTGTACCCACACAGCCTGGTGGTTTAAGGTTTTGGGAAGCCACAGTAAATGTCAGGAGGTTAATACCTCATGGTTTGTCTTCACCACAAATCTATGAGTTTTAAATTGCCTGATGGTGAACTTGGCCTGCATTAACTGAAGGTTAAATAGCATCCACTACACACATCTAAGGTATGAAACTTGCTTCAAAACAAAGGTGATGCTTTTGTGTCTCTAAAGGACAGCATGTCTGCAACACCTTCTGGTGTGTGTGTTTGATATTCTTATTTAAAAGCAAGCATTGTCTTCCTGGTTACAGACTGTGACTGACAGTAGAAGTGGTGCTTTGTGACCTGCTGGGTAATACCTACCTTTGGTTAATCAAATGTGCTGTGCCTTGTTGGTTTGTTTTTGTAATAACCAGTACCAGGAAGAAATCCAAGAGCTCAATGAAGTAGCAAGACATCGCCCTCGGTCTACTCTAGTGATGGGTATCCAGCAGGAAAACAGACAGATTAGGGAATTGCAACAGGAAAACAAAGGTAAAATATAAATACTCTATCCTTTCCAAGCTCCAGCCTGTAGCACTGGAAATAGTGAGACTTTTACCACTGATCTTTTTTCAAAACAGATCTCTACAAGAAATTTTTTCTTCTAATTTTAATTTGTCAATTTAACTGATCATAATTCAATTCAAGAGTCCTAAAGTCCAAACTCTGGGACTGATGAAGAAAAAGAGATTTGGGAAAAATCACTTTTTTCAGTCCTTACCTAATCTCCAGCACGAGTGAGGAGATAAATAGAACATAATTCTGCAAGATAGGGATCCTTTTGGAGACCTGTTTAACCAGTGCTGAAAATAATAGGAACAGTCATGGTGTAAGCAGAGAAGTATAATTCCATCTGGAATTCTGTACACTAGGAATGCACTGTTCCTCCAGGAAAGCCTTAGATATTCTAACAGTTCCACTCAGCAAAGGATTCCGTGAGCTCAGTTCAGATGAGTCTTGCCTTAACTCAGGAGTTATTTATCCTTTGTCTCAGTAGATTTTGAACAGGAGCATTTTTCAACTCTGGTTTTACCCAGCTGCAGATTAAGACAGACCTGTGAACTCTTTCCTGCCTTTCATAGAGTGTGGCTTGTAGTGGCTGGGGTAAAGCTGCTCAGCCACACTCCAGATGCTTCTGTCAGCCACAGGGGCTGAACAGAAAGTCACACTAACAAAAGACTGTTTGTTACTAACCAGGAATTGTCCCAGGCTGGTCGCCATCAAAGCCACTGGCAGAGCCTGTGTTGATTCCATGGTGCAGGGACTGGGGACACTCAATTATGGGCTCATTTCGGTTTTCTCAAGCTGCAATACATGTGCATTTTGATTTGGTTCTCTGTGTTAAACTCTAGACTGCATTTAAATTAAATTAACTTAACTCTGTGTTAAACTCTTAAGTGCATTTTAAATTCTGTTGGCAGAACTGCGCACATCTCTGGAAGAGCACCAGTCAGCTCTGGAACTCATCATGAGCAAGTACAGAGAACAGATGTTTAGGTTGCTTATGGCAAGCAAAAAGGATGATCCAAGTATAATAATGAAGTTAAAAGAGCAACATTCCAAGGTAATAACTTCATTGAGGGTTTTTGCTTTGTTTTTTAGTTAGCACCTTACTTTGTAGGGGATCAATTCAAAACTCCATTTCATTTTTTGTGCTCTTGTACTACTAGCGAGTCCTAATTTTTATAATCCACTCCATGCAACATGAACAGGAAACTATCAGTTGAGTAAGTCAACCTTACCAGCTTCTCATTTATTAAAACTTTCAACAGGTAGCATTTCAGTACTGCATTTGCTTAATTTACTTTTCTTTCACGTCAGTCTTTAAGGCAACTGCCCTGTTACACTGCCAGAGGTTAGTAATAGTCAGACTTTTAGACTACCTTTAATTTATGCTTGTGACACCAACAAATAATTATTAAACTTGTGCTTAGGGAGAGTAGGAGAAACAAGCTTTTTAAATTCAATACTCAAATATTTTTTCCCCTAAATATTGTAAATAAATTGTAAAAATTAAAAGACCTTTTGACTATTAACTGGATAAAGCAGGAAACACAAGCATATGTTCAGTTATTCAGCAGTCAAAAGGACTATTAAATTTTGGGAGAATTCATTCTGGGTCACTAACAGATCTAAACAGGAGCTTTTTAGCAAAATATTACATTTCATTGAAAATGTAACATAATCATTAGAGCAATGCAGCTGTGTAGACAAACAAGTTCTAAGTGTTTAATAATCTTTGCCCTCAGGTAATTTAAGTTTGAAAAGCAAAGTTAGGGTCTGCTTACTGGGAAACAGAATTTAAGAATTTTGATTCTTTCTTGCCTGCTTACAGCGTCCTATGTGTGTAATTATTGCCATTAGTATGAAAAAATATTATTGGATTAGAACTGTATCTTTAACATAAAATCTTGAAAAATAACAGATAAAGATAATTTTCAACAGAAGTTACCTCAGAATATGGTATAGCATCTGCTTCAGCTTCAGGAGAACCAACACAAGAGGGTAAAATGAAATCCATCCAGAAATGGACTGTGGTAGTTCATTTAGGAGCATTTCAATGGAAAGGCGGGAAAAAGAAAAAAGAAAAAATAACATCTCACAAAGTAATTGGAATAGGAGATTTAGGCTTCAACACTTTAATTAAACCTCTTCCTTCCTGAATGCCTGACGAAAAAGATTTATCACCCTGACACACAGGATTTCTGGAATTTCATTATTTATTCTCTGGCTCAAGCTTTATATTCAGGAAGACTGAACAATGTTGAAACACTTCTTAAATACCTCTCTCTTGTTCAGTAAAAAATCCATTATACCCAAGGAGTTAAGCTCTGTATTTCCAGTAATGCTGTTTTCCTGAGTGCCAGCTGTTATTTTAGTGCCTGTTTACAGAAATTACAAGACCATTGATTGCTGCAGATGAAGAAGCACCTCCTTTAAATAGAACAACAGTGTTTTGTTAGTGTTGTATGCAAAAGTGTGTGTTGGTGGTAATGACCCCGATCTAAGTGTTCTGTTTGAATTTGCTCAGCTGAAACAAAAATGGATGTGGCCCCTTTTTGGTTTTTATCTCTTTAGAGAGAAAAAACCCAATGTGTATGAAAGAGGCTTTCACTGTCACTGCACTCTTTGTTTTTACCCCATCTAAGTTTTCCACATGGGCCTTCCAGAGCAGAGCCTTCCAGTTTTGTGTTAGGATCCAACCTAACATCAGTGACCTTGGGACAGGCCTGAAGTTCTATTGATCCAGAGCCCACATGAGCTGTGAAAGCAGGAAGCAGGGAGAGCAGCAGTATATCTGAAACCCACAGCTCCCACTCAGTCTTTCTCAAGGGTGCATCCTTGCCTGACCACAGCTTCCTGTCAATCTAAATTTGGGAGTTATTTTAAAAAAAAATGTTTCATATCATCACCTGCAGTAGAAACTGAGAAGAAAATAAAGATTACCTGCAAGTTCTTCCCCGCCCCCTCACATTGAGAGTGGGCATTTAACAACTGCTAAATTATAGCTTGGGCAATTGGAATGGCAAAGGGGAGAGGGCTGATGTTTATTTCAGTAAAGGGTATTTGTTTTGGTCAGATAAGTTTATGATTCCAACTGAGTTCTTTGTGGTAGTTTAAAGGCAACTGTATGGATCAGCTGCTGTATGGCTGTATGGATCTCCCATCAAATTCATCATTTAAAGGTGGGATTTAGCTTTAGTCTCTACTGTCCTTCAGTTCAGCTCTCCTGTCCTGCTTTTCCTGATATTAGCCAATAAATACTGTGGATTTGGTCCAAAGGCCAGGTCAGGCACAGCTAGACTGGCATCACAGCAGAGTTGGAATAAAAGACAGGCTGAAAAATGAATGCTGTTGGAAATACCTTTAAACTGTCTGGCTCAACTGAGCAGCAGTGAATGCCAGATGGGCACAGGCTTCTCATGTAGCTTTGCAGGGAAAGGCAGCAGTGACCCGTATCCTGAACCTCTGATATCCAGAGCCCAACCAAATAAGCTGGAATTGGAGGTGGAGTCAAGCAAAAGTATCTAAAATAGAGAGTGGAGGACAGGTTTGAGTTTTGTAATATATGACATAGTAAGGATGATCACTGCACCTGCTCTTTTTTAGCGAGAAATGCCTGTCCATGGACTGGTACTGGAGATCAGGTTTCAAACACTTGGAAGGAATGCGGCTTTCCCTGCTGTTCTCACAGGAGTGGAGCAGTTTTGCATATCCAAAATAACACACATCAGTTCCTGCTGCACAGGAGGGCCTGGTCAGGGCAAGCACAGCACCATCTTGTAGCCATTTTGAGGCCAGGGATCGCAGTTGGTTAAACCTCTATCAGATTCCACTGTGGGGTAAACCAGGTTTATTTAAATAAACAGGACCACTCTGGCTGCCCACACTGTGGAGTTGGAAAGAATTTCTTTTCTGAAATTGAGGTCTGTGATAAAAAATGTCCCAGCAGGTAAACCACATTTAATGCTTTGCTTTTTTAATAACGCAGAAAATATATCACTAACATATTACTAAATATTCTATCTCAGGAGCTGCAAGTGCACGTGGACCAAATTACAGAGATGGCAGCGGTGATGAGAAAAGCCATTGAGGTGGATGAAAGGCACGGCTGCAAAGAGCAGGAGCGCATCACCCAGCTTGAGGTGAGGAGAAAGCTGCAGAGGCACAGATATTAAATGGAGTAAAGATCCTCCCAGGTGTTTTGTGGAGTTACTGGCCCAGTCACTCACTGCTGTTGTGTTACCCTTGCCTTGCTGGAGCAGGGGAAGCACCACTACAGATTAATCTCAAGGAGGGGGATCCAAGAGAGCAGGAGAGTCAGAAGCCTCATGTGCTCCCTTGGAGAAGATGACACAGCACTGATTTCAAGTCAGTGTTTTACTCCTTATGCATTAGTTTGGAGTAGAGGGGAGGTTTAACAGCTACCCTCATTTCTTTCTGGAGTCATACTAATGTATTTTTCTCTCTCTGGTTTTAGCAAGAAAACAAAGGCTTGAGAGAAATTCTTCAAATCACTAGAGAATCATTTCTGAACCTCAAGAAAGATGATGCATCAGAGAGCACGTCCCTGTCAGGATTAGTGACAAGCAGTGATCTGAGCCTGAGGAAAAGCTAAGGACTCTGGGAATCAGCAAGCTTCAGTTGCACACTTAAACCAATGGAGCATCAGGGGGCACTGGTCAAGCACTTGTTACTGAATAGGGCACCAGCAAGAGAATACATCCAGCTCCAGCTCAGTGGCTTTTATACTTTGTAACCTAAATTCAGCTGGTGTTCTGCAATACCCTCAGTGACAGATTAATTGCCATAGATCTAACCTCAGTAGGAAATGGATTAATGCACTTGCTGAATAGCAAATTCTTTTTATATGAACTTGTTTTACAGATAAAAGGTGAGATTTCAAGTAATTTATATAAATTATTGCTCATACAAAGTTCAGTGCAACTCTTAGATAATAAAGGTAAGATTTCAAGTCTGATCTCTGCCTTAGAAAGTAGTAACTTATGAATATGCTTTGTGCATGATCCTCATAGCATTTTTTCCTTTTGTTTTGGTTTTAATAACTTCTCATTTTGCAACAAACCTCTTTGATGGGAGGGGCACACCGGCAGCATAAAATTTAAGGATTTCTGTTATTTAGCCTTGGGGTATCACTTTCAAATACAAGGCCAATTTTTAAACATAAGGAATGCTGTCAATCAACAGTTTGGAGTTTTTAAGTGAAAGAAAACTCTTTCAAATATGTTCACTGAACTGTATTGTGAGAACATGGAAAGAGCTTTTCCCACTTTGTTGTTCTCAGGAACACAGGCAGCAATACAATTCTGCCTCAGCTTTTACCTTTAAGAGAGGAAATCCAGCTCCGTTCTGTCAGTAAGAAGCCATATGAGTCCCGTGTCTTTCTTCTCCAGTTGCCTGCCCAAACTCTCTGAGTGCGGAATGGCAACTGGAAAGCACAAAAGCAGTGGCAGCAGAAAAGGGGGGTGGAGGAAAGGAGGAAGCAGCTTCATGGCAGAGTTGGCAGCCTGCAATTAATACTCTTCATTTTCCTTTCTCCAGTACTAACTAGTACTCAAGAAGGTTTTAAAGTGAGTTAAGCAGAGTGAAAGCTGTCAGCTACAGAAAACTGTGGAACTACAGCTGCCACCCACAGTCACATTCTGGCTGTTCAATAACCCACCAAGCAACATGAGCTGAGCTATCCTGAACTCAGCCACCACTTAGTCAAGTTTGATTTTGAGTCACAGCAGCACAGAAGGGACTAAGCACCCAACACTACCAAGTTTGCCAGCTTCAGTACAGCTTCCTGTGCCGCAGCACAACTTCTGTGAGCTCGAGGTAAATGTTCCATAGGCCTAAGGGGGAGCTTTCAGAGGCACTGAACCGACTTAGGAGCAGCTCAGTACTTTTGTTCTGTTATCTCTGTTGCTGCTCCTTCCCGTGGTGCTTTTAAGAGGAAATAAGTGAGAAAGGAGAATTAGCAGGCAGTAAATGCATATTTTCAGAGAACTAATATTACATGTGCTGACAGGACAGGTAAATCAGGTCTCCACATTCTCACAGCCTGCTTTAGAAATTGAGAAACTGCTGCTTCTCTGCAGAGCACCTTGGCTTCTTGCTAGGCTTAAGAACACACTGAGGACATTCACATGCACGGAAAAATTTATGGCCATTTCCAGACTTGTGAAACAGCCGCGGGAAAATTCTGGGGGAACATTTTAGCTCAAGCACAAAATATTCTTGTCTGCTTTTATAGTATCTGTAAAGCTTTGCCAGTGCTTCTCTAATCTAGATTTTGCATTTCTGCCATGGCTTGCAAGCTGCTGACTTACCAGAAGCAACATCTTTTCTCACAGGAGTGTTCTGTTGTTGCAAACTTACAAGGAATTTTGGGTTCAGTTGTTGAAGTTCTTGTTTCTAGAAGCATCTTTTCAGCCATGCACTGGTGTCAAGAGGCATTTCTATCCATTTGATGCTGAATTCAGCTTCATGGCTGATTTCTGGTTTGGCTTCCAAATACAGAAGAGGGTTCTTGGTCTGTGGCAGTACTTTGAGGTTGCTCTATTATGAAATAATGCTTGATTAGTGTTTATTTTTGTAAATTAAAAAAAAAAGTGACTTAATTTATCTACTTCTAGTCTTCACATTTGATACGTCTTCCCTTTCATTCCCCTACCCTGATCACTTTAGGATTTTAAAGAGCCTTCACAGTGTGTGGAGTGACTATTTTTCATTGCATACCTGTTATTTTTGTAATGCAGATGGCTTGAAAAGGATTTATGGCTAGAATTGTGTACTGTACAGTAAACTTATTTTATCAATAAAGTTGACTGAAAACATGGATGTCTCCATGACTAAAACAAGGTAATGGCTCTGAGATGCGCCATGCTGGCAACACAAGATAAGGAATTAACCAAAACTGTTCTATGTGGCAGCTGTTTAGCTGAGGGCAGACTGAAACTCAATTTGGCTAGTTTGTACATCTAAAAGCTTTGAACAGTACTGACTTTTTAACAAGCACATAGGATTAGAAGATTGTTAAAAAACAGAAGCAATGGCACTGTTTTCATGGAGAACTACATAATTACATGTACTGGGATCCCTGTGTAAATGCCCAATGGTTTAGGGAGTTTTCTTAAGCACTTTTTCTAATTAAAAGAAGAATTTCCAAGTCCTCTGTTGGAATGTAAAACTTGAACTTGGTTTTTTTTTTTTTTGAGAGCCTGGAGTCTGAGTGTCCGGGACACAACCGGTTGTCATTTTGGCCAGGAGAGCACTGTGCTGCTGCTCACAGCATGAAGGCAGAGGGAAGGTGAGATCTTAAAGCTCCTTCAGTGCTACCTCCTGTCATGGGCAGGGACACCTTCCACTATCTCAGGTTGCTCCAAGCCCTCTCCAGCCTGGCCTTGAACACTGCCTGGGTTGGGGCAGCCACAGCTTCTCTGGACAAGTATTTTGTAATTTTTATCAGTTCTTCTGTGACAAATCAGCTGCACACACCTGTTAACCAGCCAAGCTGATAAGAGAGCACAAGTCAGCTAAATGCTGGTTTAGTGGATGCTGTGTACAAAACTACATCAAGTCATTCCTTTGCTTCTGGACCATTTAGCATAAGGGGGGCTGAACAGAAACAGCATGGGAGGAGAGACCGAGTTCCTGCTGCCTGCAACCACTTTCCGTCCCCAGACACTGAGAGCCAGTGTGGCCCTTTTATCAGGAAAATCCTTATTTCCCACATTCAGGGAAAAACTCACCAGACAATTGCCTTAACCAACTGCTCAGCAAAGGAAGGAAACACTGCCACTGCAGTGTTGGAAGAAGCATGTGCTGGCAGCACTCCTCAGGCACCAGCCAGAGAACAAGCACAGGGGAAACCCACCAACTCCAGCTGCAGTCTTTCCATTTCCCAAGGTGAAGGTTTACTTTTTTGAAGAATGTCGGACAATGACTTCCCCGCGGTGTTCTCAGCACCAGAAATCTCCCAATCCATACACATGAGACTGGCTCTTCCAGCAGTGAGCAGCAGTAGAGCTGGTTTTGAGAAGTCAGTTCTTGGGAGCTCAACACAGCACACCAATGGATGCAGGGTGATCAGCACCTTCCCTTTTCCAATACCACATTCAGGAACACAGTAAACAAATTTTTAAATGACTCATCATCTGCAACTCATTCCATTCCTGGCTAAGCAAACAGCAGCTGCCTTCTACAGTTCTCTACCTGTGCTTCTTTGCTTCCTGCATATGGCTTTCACCCTCACTCTCAGCATTCAGGATTAAAAAAAATCTATAATCCAGCTCATTTTGAGCATATTAATAGTCTGTTGTTACACTAGATAACATGGAAAAGTTGGACCTGGTGCTTTTTCTGACGAGGCAGCCTTGTGAGGACCTAGTTCTGAAGCAGGCAGGGAAGTTTCACACAAACATCTCCTGCCACTCCCTCTCGCCCCCAAAATGAGCTCTTTTATTGCTCTGGTTTGAAGTTGACTTCTCCCAGCATGCAAGGAAGCACAAAGCCCTTCATGCTCAGCAGGAGTCAGCTGGCTGCCTTGAGCTGGGGCTGGAGCAGACAGGCTCTGAGAGCAATAAAATAAATATAATTAACAACAAGCATCTGTTGAATACACAAGTGTTAAAGGAGCTGTTGTTTCCAGAGAAAACTGATACGAGAGCTACTAGTCCAGGATGTGGGAGGGCAACCAGATGGACATTGGCAAAATCCAAATAAATCTGGATATATCAATATAGCTATGCATTCCCGCTCCTGAGTAAGGACACAATAACCTAACACAATAGTCACCTTGCATACCCAAAGGCTCAGTGTTTCTTATGCTGACTCTTCACTGGATAAACCAACCAGGAACCAAAGTTCCACTGAAGCCCGCCCCAAAAAAACACTGCCAAGATCACTGCAGACCTACAGCTGCTGACAGGTCAGAAGGCAGAGAGATTAAAAGCTCCAAGGTTCAGTGAAAAATGCGTATTTTGAGATGGAGCCTACTGATTCTTCTGGAGGGGCTCCCTCTTCTTTGGA